GCATACAGTTGATTATAGTTCCTAGGCTCCCTGTGGTTCACACAAGACCATGACCATGCTCTTTTAGACAGCTCTTTTAAATTGCACATGTTTGACCCCTATTAAGAGCGTCAGAGCTACAGTCAGCAAGCAATACACTTTTCCCCTCGAAATGAGACTCCAATCATTTACATTGAGCTTCGTGGTCTTAGGCGGTTTATCGCCTTATTCCTCAGCAGCTCCTGAGAGCAAGGTTATTTGTAGATATGTTGGTGATCGCTGCTGTGTCTGCCGAAGTACTATGGAAGATTGCATGATGGGAGTGAAAAGTCTTTTGATCAGTAAAATAATTTTAGAAAAGTGAAAACTAAAGTGACTGTGAAATAAATGTTGGTTTTAAATATTAGATATTGTGACATTTGGATGTAATAATGAAAGGAAATTGAACTGGTATGAAAGGGCAGTATATGTAGCTGGAACGCAAGGTCAGAATCCGGGGTCAAAATACGTCACAATACAATGTACATCCATCAAGGCGGTTGCAAAGTGTCAACAACTATGGATGAGGTAAAAGACTTCGTTTGCAGTTTGCGTGAATGGTTGGGGAGAAAAATTCATGCAAATTCTGTGCTTCAGTAACAGTATTTGCTTCTTCTTTTTTTTGTGCAATGGAAATTAATACAAGAAATGCTGCCAATAAACATGTCCTTCTAGTACACAGAACAACTCTGGGATGTTTATCCTGAGAAATTGAAATTGGGACATAGACATGCTTCGCCAGGGTATCAAGTTTATTTTGATTATTTGAAGATGGGAACTGCTGCTTTATGGAAGAGCAAAGTTCAATGTCATTGGCACAGTAATGACGTTTTTAGAGGGGTGACTCGCAAGAAGTATTTGCCGTGACTCCAGACTTCTCATTTGGGTTCTGTCACCAAACTGTACGTTTTGACGACTTCTGGGACTTGTAATAATTTTCTGGAAACTGCATAGCAAATCACATATTTTCCTTATTAATTGTTTTTATTGTTCATAATTATTTACAGTAATAACATATGTTTCCGATTGTGTGCATGACAGCTTTGCCCACACACAATAAGACAGGATGATATGTACAGATATGTGTGAGTATGTTTCATGGATTAATAGGTCACTCCTTTGCTTCAATTCAAACTACATCTCTGGAAATATCACTTGCTGTTTATCATCCATATTTTGATATCTCACAATGTGTCGGTTGCGTATCTGGAAATTCTAACTACTATTTCGAAGAATTTGACCAGCCTTGCTTCTACGCGGCCAGTCATTTAAGTCAACTCCCATATTGTTCTTCACAGTGAAGCTTAATGCAGATATATTGTAAATTACACAGAGGTAACATTACAATACATTCCCCTTCACATTTCCCTGTATTACATAACAATCTTTGAGCTAAGGCAGTTATGGTTCTACAACCATCACCAGTTCTCTTGTAATGTACTGAAAGTGATGCGAAACTATCGAGTGAAGATCTAGTCGAGCCAAGTTCCTTAAGGCCCCCTAACCCGAACACTAACACTACCACTCTCGTCTCCAATGTAATTGCATATGCCCCTACAAATAACAAGTGTCTGACTGTCTACCACAGCAATCTTCTTGCCAGGTAAATAACCTTTGTACTACTGACTTTCCGACTAATTTGGTAGATACCTATTAGGAGGTAAATTTTGCCACTGGTTCTCTGTGTCAAAACTTTCAGAATAACACATTTTACATGTTAAATCATGACTAAATTCCACTAGGAAAATAAACATATGAGTGATACCTATACAAGAAGGCTAACTACTTTGTACCTTAAACAATTATCACCAGAATGCTTCAACATATTCGCAATCACACAGGTGACAGACAATAGAAATGTGAAGACTGATGCACTGACAAACGTGAAATAAACGTCATGACCAATGACTTAAAGAAACATTTATCGAGTTACAAGTTCCATGGAAAACCTTTGGATTATGTATAAATCAAAAATTGATCTTGAACACAATAATGATTTCTTTCTGCTGAAACATAAACCCGCAATAAACAGCAAGTTGTCAACGTTCATTAAATATAAGTATATCTGTAACAATGAAACAAAATTGTAATCTTCAAGTTGTGGTCTTATCCCACTTGAAAACGTGCAACTGCAAATTATATATGAATAATTGTTGACAACACTCCGGGTGACATGAATATCAATGTTTTGAT